TCACTCTCACTCTCACTCTCACTCTCACTCTCACTCTCACTCTCACTTCACTTCACTTCACTTCACTCACTCACTCGCACTCTCACTCTCTCACTCTCACACTCACTCTCACACTCACTCTCACACTCACTCTCACACTCACTCTCACACTCACACTCACACACTCACACACTCACACACTCTCACACTCTCACACTCTCACACACTCACACACACTCGCACACACTCACACACACTCACAGACACTCACACACACACACACTCACTCACTCACTCACTCACTCACACACACACACACACTCACTCACACACACTCACTCACACACACACTCACTCACACACACACACTCACTCACACACACTCACTCACACTCACACTCACTCACTCACTCACTCGCACTCACTCACTCGCACTCACTCACTCGCACTCACTCACTCGCACTCACTCACTCACTCGCACTCACTCACTCACTCGCACTCACTCACTCGCACTCACCCACTCGCACTCGCTCGCACTCACTCGCTCGCACTCACTCGCTCGCACTCACTCACTCGCACTCACTCACTCGCACTCACTCACTCGCACTCACTCACTCACTCGCACTCACTCACTCACTCGCACTCACTCACTCGCACTCACCCACTCGCACTCGCTCGCACTCACTCGCTCGCACTCACTCGCTCGCACTCACTCACTCGCACTCACTCACTCGCACTCACTCACTCGCATTCACTCACTCACTCACTCACTCACTCGCTCGCACTCCCTCCCTCACACTCCCTCCCTCGCACTCCCTCCCTCGCACTCCCTCCCTCCCTCCCTCCCTCACCCACTCACTCACTCACTCACTCAATCACTCACTCACTCTCACTCACACTCACACTCACACTCACACTCACACTCTCACTCTCACTCTCACTCTCACTCTCAGTCTCACTCACTCTCACACACTCAAACTCTCACTCTCACTCACACTCACCATCGCCTCTCTGGACCCCAACTTCCGGGATAATCTTTGTCTAACTACTTTCTGGGAACACACGTCCCTTGTCTTCATGGAAGCTGGCCTTCGTTTACTTCGCAAGATGGCAGCTCAAAATTTAGGTTGCAAGATGCAGTGTACAAGAAAATATCTTGCGATGGATAAGTGGCAAAATTTCAGCAGCCGCCAGAAGATTGTAGCGTCTGAAATATTTTGACACCGCTCCCGTTGACAATGCACCTTAAATGCAAACAACAATTTGGTAGCAGGCTCTTTATGGAGCAGAGAACCCCAGTTTCTAGGCGAAACGCACTTCAAAGTGATGCGTTGTTTTGCAACAAATGTTTTGGCAGGTTGTCTTAAATGTGTCGGCGCTCCCAATCATGCGCTATCTCATCCGTGGCATTGAAGATCCGTTGCTCATACACTTGCGTGTGTGTTTAGACGTCTATTTTATGTCCATGCCACTTTTGCCTCTGAGATGTGGTGTGTATCAATGATGCAGATAAACCGATTGGACTTTGTAGTGCCATTTGCATCCATTTGCGGCATATTTGGAACAAGTTGGACCGTAGGATTGACGCCCAATATGCAGTGATGGTGCAATCGTTTTCCGTGGCGGCAGCTTCTTGTCGATTAAGTCGGGTTCTACACAACCCACTCGCCAAATATTCCGTCATTCCATCATGAATGGTCGTGCTGTGTGCTATGACAGGTTGCAGGCTCCAAAGGTACCACGCAGTTGTTTTTCGATGATTGCGCCCAAACGCGTGCTTTGAAATCTCTTTCAGATCAGATAGAGCTCTTCGTGTTGTTGCGTTGAACGTGACAGGCGGTTACTAGGCAAACAAAACAAAAACCGATATGGCATTTGCGTAAGATGTTTTGTTTGATCACTGTGGTCAAATCGATGCACATCAACATCGTTTGCTATCTTGGGTCTAATGCTTCCATATTCGTGAAAACCGTGTTGAAGCGGCGCAAATTTTGACACACCATGTCGACTTACTATGGGTACCTCTTCCCTTTATGCATCTGGAACAATTGACCTTCAAGTGCTTGCAAGCCATTCGCCCGCACCCTTTTTGACTTTCCGCTTATAGATCTGTTTGATCGTGCCGAGTTTTCACAGGTGGTACATGTGATGTATCACCTCATCTCACCCCACCCCACCCCACCCGTCCTCACCCCTCACCTCACCTCACCTCACCTCACCTCACCTCACCGTCACCTCACCTCAACTCAACTCAACTCAACCGCTCCACCCATCTCCGCCCTACCCCACCTCACCTAACCTCACCCCGGTGTTGGTGGAGGTCTTTAGCCAGACCTTCGAAGAGGCCATCCTGCACGGTCCCACTAAGATGTGTTTGGGGACAACACTTTTGCGGGACAACAATGTTTTGTGACGTTTTGGATGCTTTTGGCCTTACTTCTTCCAGAATTGGATGCC